GGAGGGGATGGGGAGGAGGAGAGAGGAGGGGATGGGGAGGAGAAGGAGAGGGGAGGGGAGGAGGATGGGATTATCAGTGGTGGGTTTATTCTTACCGTGTAGCTGGTGTCTTGAAAATCTTTTCTACACGCAAAAAGAAAACTTCTTCTAATGAGGCTAGGCACAAAAGATAGCTGACAGTACCTTTATATTATTTATTTACAGTGCGTGCTTCGGGGCTGGTTTTTATTGAGGACCTGCAAAATGACTTCAGCAATGCTTTTGAAACAAAAAATGAGCTGACCTTTTTCTTTCATTTATGTAGTTAGAGCAAAATTCCTTCCATATGTCTGCCTCAAATGGTTTTCTCTTGTTGATTCATGAAAATCAAATGGTCTTTCATGTTAACACCATTAATTTGAGAAAATCATGATTGGAAGTTTTGGCTTTTTGTCATTTGTATCATAATCACACTTTTAAGTCTTCTTTATCTTTTCTGTAATTGCTATATTATTAAATGTTATGTAATTCAGTGCAGTAGATATTTTAGTTAAATGTTATTGGTTTACTTCCTAAGCTTTGGCTGTTTTGACATGTCAGACAATTTTGCTCTCAAGGATTGTTATTAAACCTGGAACATCAAAAAAGTAAATGAAACTACAAAACAACCCTTCTCCTTAATCTCATCCACTTGACCTTACCATCCTTGTAGCTCAAAAGCAAATGCTAAGGAGGGGGGTGTGGGTATGTAATTGGTTAAAATCTACCACCTGATTAGTTTTGGGATACTGATGTTTTCAAACGCACAAACTGATTTTTCTACTACTTCAGCTGGCTGTTAAACAATGAAAGTTTACAGGATGAGCTCATTTTGAAGGCTATTGGGGGTACAATGCTTTTCATCTTTAATTTCGTACTGTTTTTTTTAAAATCTGAAACTTCCTTGTTGCTTTTTTTATCCCCAAAAGTTCTATAGGTTCTCCATTAGTCTCTCTAAATTCTTGAAATTTAGCTTGGGTGTATTTAAACCAGTTTCTGACAGTCATGCAGAGGTGAAGTGTCTTGAACATTTTTCACGTCTGAAGATAAAGCATTTCAGAGCCTACCTTCGGCTTTTCAGCTCTAATTAGTATTTGGACAGCAGTGGGCAACGGACAAATACACGAAGTTTTTTAAGTAGTATGGTAATTGTTTGTCTGTTGCTCTGTTGGCAGGTGGCACCGCAGCTAGCGACTCTGAGCTCCCGGCCGACTTCATCGTCCCAGCCAGCAACCAGACACAGTTTCAGTTCAGCTCTGTAGACGCTCTTCCTGCAGGCGGTGCGGAGAACCCTGTGGGCTCGGGCGTTCAGCTCAAGTACTGGTTCCTCGGTAAGGGTTTGGGCGACTCCCTGTTAATTAATTAATTTTTTTAAAATTTTCTTTTGACATGCCATCGGACCCTTGCTTCTGCAGTTGAGAGAGGGGTTGTTGTAGTGTTACAGTTCTCCACCTGAAACAAAATCACACACGGGTATCTCAAACAGGCACTTTTTTGTACCCCTTGTCAAGCAGCTCGAAAAGTTTCATAATATTGTCGCCCTGCTGTAAAAATGTATTAGGCCCAAAATTTTTGAATAAAAAAAAAAAAACCAATTGCAATTTCTTAAATTGTGGTATTGGAAAACAGCTGGAAAAATACATAATGTTGGTGAGGTTGTTTAAAAGATAAAAGATTTTTTTCTCTCTCTTCTGACAAATTGTGCTTTTCGGGCTCAGTACATTTTGGGAGGTTGGCGATGATATGTGTTGGTAGTGCCCCTTGATGAGAAAGAGAGTAAAACCATATTTAGTAACATTCCTTCGCTTGAGTGCTCAAGTAGTATCGGGCCTTGCATCGAGTGCTCGAATGCTCGCGAGCGCTAAATTATTGAGTAGCGTACAGCGCTACTTTTTTCTGCTTATAATTTTCACACTCTTTTCTTAGCACAATGTTGTAGTGGTATCCAGACTGATTAACGGTATGCTTGGGGTATGAAAGTGTTTGTTGGTGGTTGGTCTGGTTTCTTTACTTTCCCTCTGTCATTTTTGGGGGGTTGTTTTTTTTGGTTTTTGTTTTGTTTATGTTTTAAAAAAAAAAGATTACCAATATTGTGTTGTTGTGCTTCTCTTTACTCAAGTAAACAAATACAAATAAACGAACGAATAAATGATGTCATGTCCCCTCCACCACCCCCCCCCCCCCCCCACCCCCCAGACTGTGGTGGCAACATCTCGGACGCCAATGGGACATTCTCCAGCCCTGGCTACCCCAGTGTGACCAGCAAGCCGACCACGTGCGTGTGGATCGTTCAGCTGCAGGGGAACAGCTCCGAGTTCATCATTGACTTCAACATCACGGTGAAGGGGGCTGAGGCCAAGAACATGTGAGCTACTCTTGTTGTTTTTGCTGTTGTGGGTGTTGTCGGGTGCACCTACGCGTGGCTACCTCAATTACAAAGGTTCTGTCTGACATGTTTGGCTGTTCTGAGTTACTAAGACCATGAGATCAGAACGCAAATGTGTGTGTGCCTAGAAAAAGGTCCCAGTTGTCGGCAAAGCTATTTTTCATCAAAGGGGTGAAAAGGTCCAAAAAGTCATATCTGGTCAAAAAAATCTAGTTCCACCAGAAAACACACATTTAACATATAATATATTGAAAGGGTTTTTATAAAATTTTAAGTATAATTATTTTTGGTAATTATTTGTGCAACATGTTGTACTCCACCAAGGGTTAAAAATGCGCTAGAAATTGGGTTTTTCTCCAAAATTTGTTTTTTACACCCAGTGTTACAAATTGTGGCTTATCTTTAGAGTTCTACCCAAGATATTTAAAAAAATAAAAAATCAACGTGTTCAGCATTGAATTTGCAACAAGAAAAAGCCCTTATTTCAGTATCCAAAATTTCCAACTGGGACCTTTCCCCAAGCACGCACACAAATGCTGTATCTGCCCTGTCTAAATCTTAAGATTATCCGAAGACATCATCAAGATATTCAGAAAACTGCATGTTACTCGCTAGTAACACCTTTAATCCTGGGCCCTTATATGACCTATCTGTGTTGCAAGTGCCGTAAAACACTCATTAAAACATAACGGTACCTACTTCTACCTGATAATGATGACTCGGTGCTTAACGGGTGTTCATACCTCACTGCTGGTAGGTCCTACTTTTTTTCTTTCCCTCTATTGCTTCCATCGGCCTGTATTACTCTTTCCCTGCACTAAATTGCCTTAATTATGTCAAATGTGCTTATCTTTTCTCAAAGTAGATTAAAAGTTTCTCCGGATTGGTAGCAAGCTCTGGGTGGTTGGCGGGTGCTCTGGTGTGTTTTGGGCCTTCTTTTCTATCTAACATCCATAGTTCTCCTCTTTCCTTCTTTTTTTCTCTGTGCGCTGTTCTCTAGTACCCCCTCCAATGATTAGCACCTGTATGATGACCTGTTTGTGTTTCAAATGCCGTAAAACTCTTACACTAACCTGAACTGTCACATCTAATCATGGGCACTTGTTTTTGTATGACCTATTTGTGTTGCAAGTGCTGTAAAACCCCTACTTCTAAGGAAGTAAACTGAACTAATGCTTTCTTCGTGGGTGGTCGGTGGCTGCTCTGGTGTGGTTTGCTCCTTCTTTCCTGTTCAGTTTGTATCGTCTTGATCTCTCCTTTTTTATGTTTGTTACTCTTTGAGGGAGGCATTGCGCTGCCAAGAGCGAAATGCTCGCAGCTAAAGGGATTTGAAAACAACAACAACATGTTTGTTACTCACTCGTAACACCCCTATTCTTCAGAACTTACATGATCTAATGTGTTGCAAGTGTCGTAAAACTCTCTGTAAAACTGAACTATCACACTCTAATCTTGGGCACTGACACTTGTATGACCTATTGGTGTTGCAAGTGTGGTAAAATTCCTACTAGTAAAGTGAACTGAACTTAGATCTAACATTTCTTCCCCTCCCACGCGGTCAGTCACAAGTAGCTGACGTAAACTGAACAAGTTTAAGTGCCCAAGATTAGTGGTGATAGTTCAGTTTACGTAAGAGTTTTTTGGCACTTGCAACACAAGCAGGTCAGAAAGTAAACTGAACTGGTGCTACTGACTGAAGTGTCTTTAGGCCATTCCCAAAGGGGGGATATGAACATGTTATTATGCTCATTTGAATTGTAAATGGGCTGATTCATCAATGTCATGCTCATAACTGTGCCTGAACTGCATACGGGAACTGCTGCTTTTTCTTTCCTCTTCCTTACTATCGTCATTTTACCACTACTCCTTTTGTATGTTTGTCACTCTCATGTGACCCGCTATTTCCGGGGTGCCTTGATAGTCGAAGCAGACTTTGTGCTGTTGAGGCTAGGGAGGTGAGCAGAGGAAGCCTGATTCCCCGTTTGGACTTCTCTGTTGACAACCACCCCTTTGCGTTCATATGACCTTATGCAGTTGCGAGCGCTGTAAAAACCTTACTAAAACTAACTAAACGTGTCTTCCCCTCCCGTGCGACCAGTGACAAGTACCTGACGGTGTACGACGGCCCATCGCTGCGCTCCCCGGTGATGCCCAGCGCCCGA